GAGTTCTATCAAAAACCAATAAAACACAAGACCCAACGTTCTAGCCAACTTGAGTGCCAGTTTCTGTTGCGCAGAAGGTACACAGAGGTACTGTGAGGAAGTGCTCTTTTTTCCCTATTATCATGTCAAATTCTACATAACTGTTCAGAGAATCCCCCATTTGCTGCCAAGTAAAATATTCAAATGAAATGTTTGGTCTTGACTTGTGAGTGAACTTTTCACTGTTGATTTGCTATTATTGGTCTCATCCATTGCTAAACTTGCTTGTCAGAATGCTGCTGAAGTGGAATCATTAAAGTCCTGCCAACGACATTCCACTGTCTGTAAACAAAGACAAAATGCCTCTGTTGTTAAGCAGAATTTCATCCTGGGAGTCATGCTGAGACATGTGGCCATTCTGCGGTTTCTTCCATAATCATGGCAGTTAGCAAATCTGCCCTTGTAGGCTGATTCTGATTTGCTGGGTCATTGCACTAAATGTACACATGTGACTTTTATATATGCAATTTGCCTTCTGGACCTCTACAAAATCTCAGTAGACATATAAAAAATATTTCTTAAGCATGTACTCTATGCCAGGCACTGTGCTAGATCCTAGGGAAGAAAGGAAAAATAATAGAGTCCTTGTTCTTTGTAGAGTTTAAAGTATGGAAGAAGTGAGCATTAAACTTAAACCGTCTAATTATGTACCCACTTTTAGGATTAAGATAAAGAACATTATAAAATGGTCTTAACAAAACCTATTTCAATATTTGGAAAGACAATGTTTGGGAGTATCGAGAAGATATTGGAATCCTGAGTTTTAATCCTGGCATCTAACCTGCCTCTACTAAACTAGCTGTGTGACCTTGGACAAGTTGCCTAACCTTTCAAGGTCATGTTCCTCACAGAAAATGGAGATGATAACAACACTTGTTTCCAAGGGTTGTGGAGGAATCACAAGCAGTAACTAACAGAGTGTTTAGCTCAGTGTACCTGACATAAATTACACCTATTACCATGAAGTTAATTTTGTAGGAGAGGGTTTTTTGGGAGAACAGTCCATGAGGAATGTAACCACTGTTGTATTGATCAACTATCTTGGATTCAATCACTAAATAATCACAGAGCAAATACATGAGTGTTTTGAGTAAATCAACCGACTCTATCCAAACTATAGAAAATGGCAAACACAGAATGTCTGCCTTTTGGTAATCAAAGGATATAAACACTTTCATGCACAAGGACCAGTGCCTAGCACATAACCAACAATTATTAATGACTGACTGAATGAATAAAGAATCTCATAAAATTAAATAAACCCAGTTTGCAAAAAGGCCTGACCATTTTCAAACATATGACATGATCAAGTAACAAGAAAAATATGAGCTAGGATTGCAAAATGCTAGTATTTCTTGTTAACCCAGTTGGGCAGGGACTTTATGTCAAAATGCTGATACTGAAATATATCATATCCACTCTCTCTAGGTACTCAGGCCCTTCTGCTTTCTGTCACTTCTGTCAGTTTCAGGAATTTTTAGGTTTTGTGTCTCATAACGAAAATTATTTTTGGTGGAACAATTAAAATGAATTTTAGAAAAGAAAGAAAGAAAGCATGGATCTCCAGTATCTCTGATCACCTAGGGAAGAAGATGAGATATAAAGGGTTTTAAGAAATACTAGTTACCTCTTATGATTGCCTCTAAGGAAAAAGGAGATGTTTACTCTGGCTAGTTTACTTTTAATGCTAGAAATGGAAAATTTCATTTTTATCCCCACTGACTCATGCAGCAGGAAAAGATACTAGATCTCTTCACCCTCTCCCCTACTTTACAATGAGGAAATGATGCTCATAGTCATGATGTCATGTTGTTAAGTTCATGGAGCTAGGCAATGGAGTATTTATGCTGGCTGCTTTTATTTCAATTCAGAAAGAACATTTATTTTTCCTGTTACCACTCATGATATCTTTGACTCTTTACTGAATTGACTGATATTTAAAATTGTGTATTATCCCATTGGCATACATTGTTTCCATTTTAGTTGAGATTTGACCACATTTGTGGTTATGACCAGCCCAAAACACCTCAGCCAAAAAAGGTAATCATTTCCAAATGTACAAGCCAATACGGTCACATGGTTTCATATGTTAGGCCACCCCAAAATAGACACATGGATCAAACATTGAGACCAAAGTGACCAATAATATGATAATAAGAGGAAGTTATTGACCTTATTTAATTGACCTGAATAAGATGAATAATATGGTTGATGTAGATGTCAAGCAGAATAATGACTTCCTTTATTTTTGTGATAGAAGAACTACAGTTTTTAATTGGTATTTATGGATCTTTAAATGGATTTATTTTATTTATCCTAGTGGTGCTGAAAGAATGCTGTAAAGCCCAATGAACTTAGGTACCATTCGTTTATTCATTCAATAAAAATTGATAGGTTTTATTTCTAGATCTTCCATTAAGTTGCTGCTGACTCTTGCCAAATCATTTCATCCCCGATCCTCAATTTACTCCTAAATTCTGTAATTTGCTAATGCTAACTAACTATACATGATAAAGGACAAAAAATATAGTGCAGAATTTACTTTCCAAAAATCTTAAAATATAATTAGGTTGACAAAAATCATAGATGCAAAGCAATTGGAAAATAATTCTGAAGTAATATATAAATAGGTGCAAGCAAACATGGGCTCTCTATGCAGAAGTACAAGAACTGCAAAGTAAAGGAAAGATTATTGTAGGATAGGGTTTGTCACAGAAGTTTATGTGTAGAATGCAGCCATATTAATTGCTGTATTGATTAACTATTTGGGATTTAGTCACAGACAGTAAAGATATGAATGTTTTGCATAAAGTGTACACGTTCAGATTCTAGAATACTGTAAATATAGAATATCTGCCTTTAGGCATCAAAGGTACAATGTCACCATGATACTCTACTGCAGGAAAATATGTACCTGTGATTTGGACTTTCTGTGTAACGGCTGTTTAAGTTCCTCCGGCACATGGGAAGTACTAAAAGACAGCTCAGCTTCAGGATATTGATTATCTTCCATTTTCCTCATTTTGAGGCTATCTGTGAAGTGCCTTATGTGATCTAGAGCAGAAAGTCCAGTTTTATATTCTTCCTCTTTATACCTAAAATGAACCAATGGGAAAGCACAGAGGGTTTTCTTTTTCAGTTTGTTATCTAACCAAATCACTTTTCATTTGAATCTATACAGCTTTCAAACTTTATATTTGCAGTATAAAGTAGCATGCATCAATTATTAGGTTCTTTAAAATTGTTACAAATACTATCTCTGTAAAGTATATTTCTTTTAAGATTTTTCATAACTAAAGCAAGAGTATATTTGAGATAAAAAGTTAAAGTCATTGACATGTGACATCAGCATGTCAGAATTCATACACTTTTAATTTCCATTTAAAATTATGGAGGGAAAAGCCAGCTATGATAATATTTAGTCAGGAGCCACTATTCACAGGAAAATACACTATTGCCATAAATTTAATTTTTTGGTTAAAGTTTTTCCATTAGAAAAATCTATTTATATAGGTTACATATATTTCAAATTAAGTGAAATTTATCTCAATACTACTTGACTTAGTATATACCAAAATTTTTAATGAATTAGATAATGTTGAAATCTTTTTCTTTGCATTTTATAGGTAGAGTCAAAATAAATGATTGTGCACTTATATAACTTTCATGTATGTACTTATGTTCTTACAGATTATGCGAAGGCCACCTTGTTTTCATCTGTTTAAAATTAATCCACTGAGTATGTGTTGCTCATTTAAATTTACTTTTTACGATTTATTACTCATAAATTGCTTGCCACCTGAAATATTGCTCTAGTGGAAAAACAGAGCAGAAGGAATTGCAACTGCATGTGTATTTACAATGGCTTATTCACTAATGTCACCTGCAGCACTCACCTCACTGGGGACGTCTTGCAACTCATCTCCAGGGCGCTATCTTCATAGTCCTCCTCAGGGTTTCCTTCATGTATATTACTGGTCACTGGTTCTTTTCCTGTTTTTCCAGTAATATCGTTGTCTTCATCCTCCTCATCTAACAACACCTCATCTTCTACTTCTTCATCATCCAGTAAATCTGAATTTTGACTAGTCACCAAAGCTTTTTCATTCTTAAAATGACTGCCATTCATTCTTTCATTGGAAAGAAAAAGACCCAGCTATTGGTTTCATTTTAAACGAGCAGTTAGCTTTATTATCATGTCTTCCTAACAATAGTTTAGACTTTCAACACTTCTATAGTAAATTTTTATTGTTCATGCATTATGGCAGCCATGGGAAAATAATGGAACCTCACATATGAGAAAATGAAGCAAAAATAATAATTGGGTGATTATTCAGATAATAAATGGAGCTTCTGGCAGAAGTGGAAAAACAATCTCAGTCTTCTCCTTATCAGACCTTTGCCTGATAAATGATATCATTATATATAATATAAGAAGCACACAAATGTTTTTCTCTACATGTTAACTAATTACCATATGACTACCCACCATTTAAAATAATAGGTTTCTAGAAAATTCATATCCCTGAGCAACATAACACGCATGCCTAAAGTGAATCTAAAAGTTCAAAGAAAACATTAAGGTAGCTGCCAAGGACCAGGTGACATTTGTGGTTATGCTACTTAGACACTCTACTCAAACTTGGAAGTTATTGAAACCTCACTTGTTTGTACTATTTTCTATTCTTGATTGTCCTGATGTAAAACAGTTCTTTGTTTCCCAGAACACTGAGGTGGGAAATGATCTAAAAATGTAACTATCTTTCAAAACAGTAGTCAAGCATGTCTAATATGATACAAAACAAGAATATAGTACTTTAAAAGTCATTTGTAATATTTTAGTTTGTAATGTAATACTTAATATGTAGCTGCAAGGATTTTACTACAAGATTCAAAAGTTTAATGCTAAAAAAGAGTTTCATTACATCAAAGACCAATTTAATACATTTGACAGCATTTATGAAACTATGATACACATTTTATGCTTTAACATAAACATTAAAGTATGTATATAAATTGAATTTAAGTTTCATTGTAAGACTTAAAAGTTGAAATTAAGTTACACAATGATTATAAAAGTTTTGAACTAGAGAATATCTCCTCTGAACCTCCAGCTTTTTAAAGATACATGACCAGGGAAGTTAGTTCACTTCTCCAAGTTCAGAAAGCTTGTTGGAATGGAACCATCACAGGCATCCAGTTGTCCTGATTCCTGAGCCAGTCATAACCTTTCCATTTTTATCTCGATCCTTTACCTCTTTACTAAGTCAGGAAATTTGTCAAAATTGTTAAGTTATTGTTACATGCATGTATGATTTTCACATTTAATGTAACTATTTCACAGATTATGGAAGATCAGGTATCAGCAATTCACTGCATCACTTTCCCATGTAAAAAAAAAATGAGTATAAAGTAATATTCTGATTTCCCAAGGTAAAAATAAATAAAACAATCTTGGGTGTGCCAGATGCACAAAGTAAAAATCCTAGAAAAAGTAATATCACAATTACTAAGCTTTTCATACAGCCGATCTCTTAACCTCTTTTATCGAAGAATGATGAAAACATGTTTTGCACAGGCATAAGTTATTAGTTTCCAGATACACTGCCAACTTGCTAGCTTGAATGGATTGAAATTGTTATTTAAAAAAAAAAAGAGAAAGAAAAAGTAAAAGAACAAAAGAGTGCATGGATGAAAACCAAAAGTAACAAAGCCAACAAGATGAAGAAAACCTATTTGCTAATTATACTTTCAAACACGGCAGTTTATGGGGCACAAATTATTCATCGAAAGTAGCCCTGATAGGAGTTGAGGGGGGAAAAATTAGCTGACTCAGTCTTCTACTTCTGTGCTGTTTAGACATGTTGATACCAGATGTTGCAGCTATATGCCGGCTCAGAGATCTCCAATTAAGGGCTAGAGAAACTGATAGAATCTCAGAGTCCAAATTGATGCGGTTTTTTCAATATTTCTTACTTGTATCATGTAAATATCATTATCAAAATTTAAGACTGTGACTTTCTTACTTGTTCTTACTATGTTGTACTTTGGACCATCTGCCTCACCTCCTTTCTATCTCTCTCTCTCTGTCTCCTCTTCTCTCTTTCTCTCTCACACACACACACACACACACACACACACACGTGTGGGTAAGCAAAAGGAAAGACACGCCCAACTACACAGAGCTGTGGCTCTTATCGGACTTCTATACAAGTTGAAAAACAGAAGTGGCCATACATTTTTGTTATTTTGGGAAATAATATTTATATGAAGCTTGCCTTAAGGGAAAAACTACCTAAAATTATTAATTTTGACTTTTATTAGCATCAAAAATAGAGGACACTAACAATAACACTTGTAGGATGAAAAGGAATGGAACTGTCATTCAAATTTACAATGCAGCATCCTAATTTAATAGGCAATTGGATAGTTATGTTCAGAAAAAAAATCTACTTCTCAGTATCAGATATCTAATTATAACTGGTAGATAAGAAAAATTAAATCCATTGGTTTTGGTAAAGTAATGTTTCATTAACATCACATAAAATGTAAAATACTAGATAACTGTTAATTATTATTAGCAGCAGCATTAAAAGTTTTGCTTTATGAATAAAGCCATGTGGGCTTAATGATGATGACAGAGGGAGCCAGGGCATCCCTGGCTGCATACAAGGATGGCCACACCCACTGAAACAAACAGGCCAAACATAAAGGAGCAGCCATCTGAGAGCATATAAAGTAGTGATGGAATCTTATTACAAAGTCTCAGATGGTTTTTATAGAAAGATATTTATATAAATATGTACATATATATATATATACACATACATATACATATACATATACATATACAAACACACATATACATTATAGCCATATAGTCACAAAATATGACATCTAATAGTAGCCACTATTGAATCAACTGAACCTTTGTGTTGGCTTTGTCCTCTACTTGGAAAGTTTTGATAAAATATTCTAATTAGCTATGAAGAGAGAAAGAACAGAATGATGATAAAAGCGTGGGCTCTAGAATCCAACAGCCTAGGTTGAATCCTGTTTATTAATTACTTATATGACCTCTGGCAAATTATTTAATCTTTTGTAGCTCCATTCCTTCACTGAAAAAATTACATAATAACAGTCACTATCTCATAAGGTCATTAGGATACTCAATTTAATTAATGCATGTAAAGGGCTTAGATGAGCATTTGGTGTTTAATCTGCATTAAATAAATACCAGCCATTGGTGGTAGGTGTTAGCATCACAAAAGTGGGAATAGCAAATGTATTTGAAAACATATTCATTTCGGAAATCAGTTTAAAAAGGAGAACACCAGTCTTACCTCTCCTCCGTGTTTCTGGGAGACTGGCTGCTGTGATTGCTATTCCCAATGAAGTTTCGAATTTCTGTGAAGTAAGCATCTTCTTTGTCATCAAGAATAGCACCAGTGTTTTCTAGTTCAGAATGAGGCGACGATGTTGCCGTACCTGCGGGGAGAGAAAGCCTTTTGTGAAACAGGCTATTACTTACTGGTCACTTGGTTTTGAACCTTATTTCTTTCTCACTTGATCAGGCTTGTTTTCTAAAACAGGCTCTTTTGAATATTAATAATGGAATTTTTTTAGGAGGTCAAAATCTCCCAATTTACCACAGTACACATGCCCATGAAAATCTCTTGGAGAATATTTCAAACCACTGAAATCATGAGGTACAATCTCCCAAAGATGGTATTTTTCCCACTAGCCTCCTCCTATTCCCACTGAGACCTGGGAACATTTTTACTCAAATAATGAGGTGATAAGGTGAGGCAAATTATAAATCTCTAAAGAGATTGTGCCGGAAGAAGCTGTGTGCTCAATCCTGGTTGCAGGCAATGGCAATTTATTGCTCCTGTGCTGAACTGCACTTCCAAATAAAGACTGAATACATACTGAACATTCTGCGTTCTGATAATGGTAGGCTAAGCCTTGGGTAGACTCAACACACCAGCCCAGAGGGTGGTACACTATGGCATTAAGAGGACAATACTGGATCTGCTGATTACTAGATGATCTTCAGCTTCCTTACCTATAAAATTAGAATCATAATACCTTATCATGAAATTTTGTAAGGTGTCTATAAACTTACACAACTATAAACTTTACATGTGGTTTAACTTTATACCAACATTTGCTTTGTGCTGTTTATCTTGACCACAAAATATCTATAATTTAATAAATTTATCACAATAGATGACAAAAATAAGAGTTTAGAGCATTCCTCAGCTTAATGAAATATAATCTGGCTCAACAAATATGTACTGAATGTGGATGTGTCAGGGTTTTAATTTATTCAATTATTTTCTGAAATAATTTTGACTAGAAAAATTATAGTAGCATGCTGTAAGGATACACACCAAAAGTGTGACCACTTTTGTGTACCGGATTAGGCTTCTCTACAATCTGGTATTTTTAAACTATGACCATTTGACTTTTGGTTTAGAGGGAAGTAAACAGTATATAAGTTCTAAGTTATAACCACCCAGGGTCACAGCAATATGTTTGCACAGTGGAGGATGGATTAATAATAAATAATTCCCTTAAGAAAATATCACTTTTTATAAATTCAACTTTTCTCTGTTCTTAAAAATCTCTTTTTCTGGACTATGTGCTCAGCCTCTTCCCTTGGCCCCATTATTTCCTTTATTCTCTAGAAATAAATTGTGGCTGCACAGAATGGCTCTGCACACGTAGCCCCGCTGGCAGATGTTAGCTAACAGCTTATTAGGAGACAACACAAGAGAACCCACCATCTCTTCTGCTAATTGTATGCTGGCAGGTCAGAATTCAGGGAACGCTAGTTGTTGTTTGGGTTTGTTTGCCACTTTCAACTTAATTCTACCCCAGGATTTGTGGCCCAAACCATACCCCCTATGGGTTAGCTTGGTCATTTTGACAATCTTCTGTTGTTGATCTCTAAAAAGTTACCCTAGAGATGTTCTCTGAACCCCAGGCCCTCTGCAAAGCAGCCACAGTTTCCAGGTTTATCATTCAGAGCGTGGTGTTTTGGGGCTGCCAGTCTGGAAATCCTGCATGCCTTGAGGCCACATTCTGTACCAACAGGTAGAAACACTGTTCCCTGCAATTTAGGAAACCTTGATTCACAAGCGTCCCATGAGTTTGCGCCATGGTTCTCTTTCTTTGAGATTACCCATTGAGAAGAATCCCAGAGAATTAAAAAACACTCCAGTTAAGGTCCTAAATTGTATATTATTAAAAAATTACACTATTCACATCATTCTAAAATCTCAAGGGCCATGTGCTGCAATTTTTAGGATCTGATTCTGGTGTCAAAGTGGAAAGAGAGAAGAAAGATCACGATTATCTTTTAAAATAAGAAAAAGATGCCATTATCTCACAATACAATGGGTCACCTACCAGACATGTTCCCATTCTCATGTTTCTTTAGGTGTCTGTCTAAATTGGTTTGTTGACCGAAACACCTATCGCATAAGTGACACTTAAAGGGTTTCTCCTTATTGTGGATGTTGCGAACATGCCGCTGTAAGTTAGAAGATATGCTGAATGATCTGTCACAGTATTTGCATCTGAAAAATAAAAACAGAAAAAATATTTGCAAGCAAAATCAAAAGATACTTCTCGAAGCTAGTAAACCTGATATCCAAAATTACTATCCATAAAACAACATATTAGAGAAAACGCAGAGGCAAGAGTCTTATTCATATAGTCAGGATTTCAATCCCAATGGACTGGGATTGCTTTAAAGATTTTCATGACTTTACGAAAAACCATAATGAAATATTGGTAATTTCACTGGTCTCAAATGTATTAGGGTAATTGGTTCCAATATTTTAAATAAACTTCACAAAATTAAGGACATTAAGAAGTAGTAGTACTGTTCTATCTTCTGCTTAAATTCTTTGTAAACAAAACATGGAACAAATTTATGTATTCTTCAAATAAAGTAAAACAGATCATTTTTTAATTCAAAACGGCAACGTCTGATTAATTTCTTTGTAAATTCATTTTCTCAATGCGACACCTAAAGGAAATTCTGTTATCTTCACCAAAACAGCATGAAACATTCCAAATTTTTAACACTGAGGCAATGTGAAGAGTTTCTTCTGATACCAATTATTTCATCATCTGTAGTAATTAGTAGCCCCCAAGTCTTTCCTCTATTAAGGTTTAAACTGCTATAGAAGAAGGTAAGCATGTCACTGAATTCTCCTTTTGGAATAAAAACAAAGGTCTTTATTAACTCCCCTTCTCCCAAGTGTCCCCAACTCTCCTTTTCTATTTTCTTAAAGAGATTGTGGCAGTTCTGAACCAGGTCAGTTTTTCAGGAAAGCATTTCTTGTTGGGTGGCTAATTGTTTCTGCCTTCCGTGTGATAAAAAAATCATAAATTACTTTCAACTTCTCCTTTAGTCATAAGATTAAAATGTAATCCCCCTCTGACCCCAGCTCTTATCAGTGAGGAAGAAACGTGATAATTTACAGAGTATTCTCCTCTGGAGTATTAAGGATTGCTTTATTTGTTTATGTGATTTTTTTTTGTATATGTGTTGCTTAAAAGAAAAGTTAACTTTCTCCAGATGACTTTTAAGTGGAAATTCTAACTTAGCAGCCAGAAAATCCTTAACTCATTCTTCCATGTGTGAAGGGCCCTTCTCCCACTTCTGAAGGCAGCCTCAGTGGTTCAAGGGCTCTACATCAGAAATAACCGCATTCCACTCCAAGTGTTTGGGCTTTACCGCTGTCTCTACATGATGTCAAAAGTCTGGTTAGTTCAGTGGGAAAAATAAATCTGTTAAACTACTTATTTTGTCATTGTATCAATAAACCAACTCAAGGATTCATTTAATTTTTCCTCCTTAAAAATCTGTTCTGGTATCATCCTCAACTTTCTTCTTATATTAATTTAAAAATGTGTAAAACCCCACATTGACAGTAGTTATAATATCTTAGTCTCTACTTTTGAAAAAATGTATATATTTATATATATATATGAGTCATGGCCTACTCTACAGTAACTTCATTGACTTCCAAGGCCCACTACATTTAGAAAAATTGTACAATTAGCACAGTAGTGTTGTACTAAGCAGAGCAACCTAGGAAACTGATAGAGAAAACTTAAACTCCCATTCAAACACTTAAGAAAAATTTTCACTGAAAATATTTTCTACACAAATCACAGAGAAGAGAGATTTTGTCTCCAACATGCTTCCAACTTAGTGCTTATATGCAAAGGAGCTTTCCCAAATCTAATAAGCATCATCCATTCTAATATGAATAAAATTGGCCAATAAGGACATTCTAAAGAATAATTGTCTGTTACTTTGTATCCTTCCTCTGCTAATGCCTTGGTGAAAAGGTTGAGTGTCCCTAGATAATAAAGCATTTCATTCTACTCTAATACACTGAAAGCCTAAGGTGGTTAAAAGCCTAAGATTAAGAAATACTTTAAATAAACACATAGCAAAATCATGAATATCATATAAAAACATATACTATTAAGAATTTGAATGTAAACACAGGGGTTATAAGAGTCTTAGAGATCTGAGATCATGGTGTGAGATTAAAACCGTGACATGAGAACCCTAGGGCTGGGCTTTAATCCAGGATCTATTAGTACCAGGCCTTACAGAAGGCAATTAGCATCTGTGGATCTGAGCTTTTTTTCACTTGTATAACAGAGGAACTGGACAAATAATTGCTTAAGGTCTCCAGCCATGGCAAATTCTGGTTTGTGTTTTGAGAAATACTTGTACAAAAACAGCACCACTTATGGGGTAGAACAAAATCACAGAATTCAGATACAAAAAAGAGCAAAATAAGCATATCATAGCTGCATACCAGACCCTTGGCTAAAACAAAATGTAATCCACTTATCCAGATTTCCTGGAATCTGAAATTTTCTTGAAAGGGGAAATCACCTAACACTTCCCATTTTTATAACTCTCCAAAACCTAGCATATCAAGTGCATTTTATCACATAAAGTAGAAATATGACTAGTGATTTATAAAACATTTAGGAAAGCAAAAAAAACAAATCTAAGAAAATACTCGATTATTATTTTCTGAGTTTAAGTCTCTCTAGTTTTTTCCTAAAATTTCAATTATCTTCAAATGAGAATTGTCTTATTCTTGTATGCAAAAAAATCTCTGAAACCTGATAAATAATTTATTTTAATGGAAGAAGTGAACATTCAGAGAAAAATAATTTTACACATATGCAATGCATAAGAATTTCAAAGCAGCATGAAATTATGATATTAACATAAATAATATCCATTCTTTGAAGAAATATTTATGAGCACCTAATACTGTGTGCAGTGCATCACACATTAAATGGTGCGTTACATTTTAAAACTGGAAGGCAGAATGTTAATTATCTTCACTCTTTAGTAAATAATAATATTAAAATCAGACACGTGCCTCATGTATCATATGGCTGACTGTGACTTTGAACAGAATAAGCTATTTAGAAATTGTTGGTGGAAGTGTCCCTCTTATAATATATTCTACTTTACCTGTTCTACCCCTAGTTCCACATTTTCTTCCTCCTTTTTAAGTTTAAGGTTTATTACTTAAACTTCCTTTTAGGACCTGTGGACACTAACTTAGCTGTACTGGGAAAACAAAGTTACATGTGATTGTTAACACCTAACAGCTTGGAAAAAAGCTTACAGCTTGGAGACTTACAGCTTGGAAAAAAGAAGTCTGCAATGTTATTATTGTCCACCAAAATGGCACTAATTATTGAGACAAGAAAGTACTCAAATAATTTTTTAAAGAATTTTTAAATGGCTAACATTTCTTTAACGCTTATTCCATACTAGACACTGCTAGGCCTTTTAAACCAAGATACAAGAGGCCTTCATTAATGAAATTAGAACTCTTCTAATTTTTTATCCTAACCGTTAGTTAATTCTTCTTTGACTCAAAATTGAAAAGACATACAATTCAAACATGTAGAAAAGTAGCCTCCTTTAAAATTGTGGCAATGAGTCCACTTTAGTTATTATAATATTTATCAAGATATTCAGTAAAAATCATTGTCAAACCTGTAAGGCTGCTCCCCTGTGTGGGTTCTCAAGTGCCGTGTCAGGTTTGCAGACCTGGGAAAAATCTTGCCACAGTATCTGTTAAGAAAAGATGTTTATAAGAGGAAGCCAGTACAATTGACTTTATTTCACTCAAGCCACATAGAAGCCAGATGCTTATTCCTGATTTAATTAATCTTATATGGAACTCACATGTCTTAGGTATTTAAAGTTCACAACACAGCCATTCTACAGATCTAAATAACTCTACAAATAAAAGCTGTGTTCAGATCCGGTTGAATTTGTTCATGCATAAACAAGACGTTTATGAAAATAGACTTTAGTTTTGATGACCCCCATACACCTCCTTTATTAACTATGTATTTTTATATTCACAAATTTGAACCAGACAAGGGGATAAAAAAATGACAAGAGTCTGTGATTCTGGGTTGATGTAAACAGATTTCAAATGTTTCAACTCATTTTACATGTCAGCCATGATGACAACTCTCTACATTGAGTGGTATCAGATCAGACAAGATTCTAAGACCTCATCCATCAAGATATGTTCCTATAAAAGCTGTTCTGGAAAGGAAGTGACACATTTTCCAAAGAGCAGATAAACTGATATGCCTGAGATGCCAAACATTTCTGAAGACAATTTAGAAATTACAAGCATGATTTACTAAAAAAAGAAGACAGGAAAAAAAAAGCTTTACTGTACTACTGATGAGTAACAAGAAACTTATTAACTAGCTTTCTTCATTTATCAACCTTATTTGTCCTTCATTAATGACCTTATGCTTCAATGCCATGACAATTAATATAGTGCTTGAGGACAGTAGCATTATACCTTTGGATGAAAATAATTAACTGTGAAAGAAAATTCATAAATATCAAAGTGAAACAAGTAGATAGTATCTGGACTGTTTCCAACCTCATTTATCACAACCAAATGGCCTGTGTTAAAATTCTCATTTAATAATAATTTTTTAAAACCACTATTTTTATATCTCACTAAATAAAGAGTACTTTGAAGTGCTTGATATCTATCATGGGTGCTATTAATCATCCAATCAGGAATAATTTCCAAAACAAACAGTAGGGCCTTTGAAATCAGAAGGGAGACTTTTGGGAAGCGGGTGGTAATTAGCTTTGCAGTTACCTGCAAGTATAACGCTCTTTCCCTTTCCGAAGGAGGTTCTCTGGCAGGGCGTTGGGAGGCGCTCTGAAGTTAAACATGGAGGGCACTGACTGCAGAAGTTCACTGGCCTCTGGTTTCAGGGCACTGAAGCTCTCTAGCTTCTCTGCCATGTTTTCAATAGCTGACATCTGAAAGGCAAAAGCACAAGAACATGAAGGACCAGTCTGCCATATTTTCTTCTATAATAATCTCTAGCAAATGAAGAAATCATGAATAAAAGGGAAGCATTAAATCTGCTTCATGTAATGGGCTGTAGAAAGATGTTGTAGGGTCCCAATATTAAATAAACAAAACTGTTTGATTTTGGGAATAACAAAGGTGGAACCAGGTTTATAAAATGCTGGGTGAATTTTTTCTTAAGACCTTGGTTAGACTGTTTTATAATTATTTGATATACAATTGAGCAATGAAATACATGAGCAATAATAAAGTTAAATTAGGCTTTTATTAAATTAAGAGGTAGCATTAGCATTATGTTATGGACATCAACAGTAACCTGGAAAATATAGGGAAAGGTTTTGCATGCCTTACTTAGGTAATAAAAACCACAGGAATCATGGAATTTGATGAAAAGAATGCACAGCATGAAAAACATCGTGTTCCAAAATTACTGCTTCAGCCAAATGTGTATAATGCAGAAGGAAAAAAATTAAATGTGTAAGAGGTGGTTTGCCTAAGCTATGCTAAATTAATATTTGTGTGTATACTAGATTTTTAAGTGGGATCATGTACAAAGAATTTTGAGGAAATATTAATTTTTTCCAATAAAGACTAAGTTGCAATGACAGTTCATGATACATTATCATAATTTCATAGAACTTAGGGAGCTGTAGTATAACTCACTATTAGAGAAATATTCTTGAAGAAAAACTGTGCTGCCTAATTCTTTCTCTCAAATAACCTAATTTATTTTGCTTCAATTATAATCTTCAAGTTTTTATAATTTACCTAATTATAATCTTCAAGTTTTGTCCACCTGCATTTGTATTTCACAGTCACAATCAGAGGGTGACATTTACTTTTAAAAGCAGTTGATCCTTACTATCCACAGTTAGAGGGATTCTCCACCTTACTTCAGCCCTCCCAAAATGTTGTTTCCACAGTGTGCTTATTTTATTTGGAAGCTGCTTACTGCTGGATTTTTAAGTAGAAAAGCAAACTCTCAGGCCATCTTGTTAAATCAACTTACTCATTATTTATTTGGGTCTCAGGGCAGTATGCCACTGGAGAGCTCAGAAAGCTGTTTAAAAGGTGTCTGCACTCTTTATGCACTCTGTGTGTTTCCCAAAGAGCAGGGTGGTAGACCAGAAGTCTCCACGCAAGGATTAAAAATGGCAACAATTGTACATTCAAGTAACTATTCAACCCAAGAGGATGATTCTTTTGATGATGAGATGGCAGGATAGAGTCGTAGGCCTAATTTATGAACTCAGGCTAAGAGTAAAAGGCAACACTTTCTACTACTCAAAAGGAAAATGGACAAAATACAATATTCCGTGGACACACAGCTGGACAGAATACTGCTGACTTCTTAAACTAGAGCAAAATCTTAACAATATGGCCTGAACATGGTCCTCCTCTTACAAAGGGAATATTGTATGCTTGATTCTTCAAATGACTCTTTATGTTGTAGTTAGCTCTCTTTCTTTTCCCTTTATCCTGGAGCCTGCTCTCTCATCTCATGCCCAGACTCCTAATGCTGGCTACAAATTGCAACGTACAGGGTACCACTGCCAATTTGCCAAATGTCTTTCATCAAACACGGTGCAAAAAAATTCTCAGAGGAAAGTCAAGATACATTTACTTGTCAGACGACAAATGTGAATGCCTTGGGAAGCAGTAGGGGCTAGAAGCTCAGGGGTTTGATTCATAATCGCTCAGCTGCTAAAACATTCTCCACAGATGCAAGTGGACAGCACATTTGTCACTATGAAGGATTTTGACACATACTGATCACAGGGCAGAGATATGGAAAGATGCTGCTGTTTGGAGTGGTTGACAGAAGCTCTGTCCCCGCAGAATATGGCCATTATCCCCCTCTCGCCAGAGCATTAGCATTTTCATTCTACTTTGGATTTAATTTATTAAAAATCAATCCAGAAATATTTTATGATACTATTTTATTTGCATTTATTCCTTCTAATTGTTCCTTGCAGAAAATCATTTTGATATTCCACCCTCTGCAGAATAGATTGCTTGAGTGAAAAATGACCTCTGGCCTTCAAGCTGATAAGCAGTAACAAGCAAGGGTAAGGGTCATGATCGTATATATTTATTGGGAAGAATAATAGTTAAGTGCTTGGGTGATGATTATAAATGTTTTATTTATGTACATTTAATATTTGAGTAAAGTTTCATTATCCAGTGGTTTTAAATCATTTGAGTGCCCACCCTGCTGACACACTTAGATTCCTGCAGCAATACATCTTATAGAAAACACTTTTCCTTTTTTACAGAAAATAGCTTACTCATAACTATTATTATCCTCCACTTTCATCTCTAGCACACATAAACTACAAGCCCTTCAAGTTACTTAAGAGCTATTGGCTGTTGAGCTTTGGTAGCTGCTAATAGCTCCTTTTGAAGAAAGATCACTGTGATTACCTTACCTCAAACTGTTTCGATTTGGGAAAATCATCAAGACACAAGAAAATATATTACGGGTTTGATGAGACATTCTTCAAGATAATAGGAAATAGAATGGGGGTTACCCAAACGCCTCTCTTATAAGACACTCCCACCTTTGGTTTCTGGTGTCAAATGAAAAGAGGTGGAGAGGAGAGAAGGAAGGTAGGAAATGAGCTGAGGGTGGTTATAAACACCAAACACACACACACACACACACAACTTTCTGTCGAGCAGGCAATCACTGAAGCAACATGAAAGCCATCACTGAATCCTTCCTTTCATCTTCGTAAGATTTGCTCTCAAAGCACTTGACCTCAACTGAAAAGAGTAAGTTTCCCTACTAGGAGAGATGGAAGTGAGTTAGACATCTTCCAGTTGGGTAGTTTAGCGATTTCTGTGACCAGCATCAGCCCCAGTCTGCACCTTGGGTTTAGGCATTAGATTAAGAAGAGCTTTATCTAGTATATGGGTCAGAACCCCAACTTTATCTCGCTCTCTGTGCTGACTCAGGAGATAACATGCATTTTACAGGAGAAGGAAGTTTTGACATTCATTTTAAAGTCTCACTTTGTACATTAAAAATCAAAATGAATTAGGACAAATGGAACAGAATCTAGCTATACATCTTTTTTGTTATGAAAAACTCCAATGAGAATGGCAATGTGCACTACTATGAATGAGAAATTTGCTGAGGATAGGGCAAATAAAGAGGAAAAGTTAGATCATATACTTTAGAATGTATTGCCCTGTGTCCTATTAATGTCCTAGGCTAATCTCTGATCAGTAAATGACAGTCTTTTTTTCCTGTGGAACAGTAAGTTTTATTTACATATATAATAGTTGTTGATGGTATCTGCAGCCAGATGTCTGGAAAAGGAAGTCATTTCACCCCCTTCCAGTCCCCAAGAGGCTATTAACTTCGTACTGACGCAAACTAATGTGTAGACACAATTCCCTAGCTCCTACCAAAAAATGTAGCTATCTCTCCAGTCAAATAAAGCTAGTATTTTTAAAAACATTTCAGCAGGCAAGATATCATCAACTGGGTCCTAAGCACTTAACTTAACATTTATTATCTGGCAGCCAATAATTGATGACATAAAGAAGTTTCTCATTAAAACTATTAAAGTGACAACCTGATTATACACAATGATATGTCCAATGGCACCATGAATTATGTGACCTAATGTTTCACAAATTAGATTACACATGCCTTTATCATAAAATAACTGGCTTTTCATAAATAACTTATGCTGGGAAAGTTTGTAGGTTTGATAGTTTTCTATGTTTATTTTCTTGATAATCTTGAGAAATCTCAAAATCATGGCCATTTAAGAAAGAAGTAAATATTCATATTTTATGGTTATCTCATTCCATATACACATTTAGCAGTCATGATTATGAAATCACTTAGAGTTTTTTACCACTCAGTATTATAAACCTTAATATTTTAATATTTCCCTCTAGTATGTTTTATAATACAAGTATAAGTCCTAACTCTTTGAAACCTATCATTCAAAGAATGGGAATGTTTCAAAAGCACTGATGTGGCATTATCAGGAAACAAGGTCTAACTTCAAATCTGCACTAGCTTTGTAAATTGGTAGAACCACTGGCCACTCATGTAGAGGACAGAAAGTTACGCTTGAAGCAGCTAACAACATAGCTACTGCCAAGTAGCTCTCTACCTTAGATAGATGAGGACCATGAGGAGGGATACAGGGAAGACCTCTGCCAGGAAAAGCAGGCAAGGACACTGGAAATACAGGCCTAGATAACCAATGAACAACCCCAGCTGCTGCACAACTTGGCCTAAGGAAGTCTCTCTCTTTCTCTCTCTCCTCTTATGCTTTTGAAATAAATGAACTTAACCCTTAAAAGTCTATCAGGATGAGAACAATTACAGTTCATCACATATCCCACAGAAGAAATAAAATAGGAGGAATTTCTGGTAAAGGAAAACTAATACCAGATAGAAGAAATGGTAAATGCTAAAATAGTTTATGTATAATTATATGGTGATGAAAGGAAAATTGAACTATATTCCAAATTTTACCCAAAGCTCAGAACCATATAATTTTGAGTGAGGAAGAGAAGGTAGAAACAAAAGCACATATACTTGGGGGAAATTTTGTAGTATATGCATTTACATGTTTCCATTGACCCAAGCTCTACTTGGGAGTGAAAACTAAGTAAGCGGTATTCTTTGTATCTTGAATAAAAAATAAAGCTGTCTGATAGTATCATTACCAGAAAACTGACTGTATCTGGAAATGGTAACTGAAGGTTGGGGAAGTGAGCTCCAGTGCTAAAAGATCCATTCACTAGTTAGACAGAGACTGATAAACACGTATTCAGTCTTATTACTCCAAATATCCAGAACCAAGTTCTGCTCTGGGATATATGGAAGTGTAATTCCCATGTCAGATCGGGCATTATCCTTCTGAAGGTTTTATCAAAAAAAATCTTTAATATGCTGACACAGGCTCCCCCAAATAATGGTTATTTCCACTTAATGACCCATCTTGAAGCCTCTTTTAGCAACATGCCCCCAAGCGCCCAGGAAGAGTTCTACATCAAGGTATAGTCACATGGAATGAGTCAGATTTATAGAATAAACTCCCTTCCATAAACCAAGTATAGCTCACTAAATGCCCAAGTATAATTGAAAGTGTTTAAGTGTGTGTGTGTGTGTGTATATATATGTTTTTTGCATCTTGACCAAGCTGAGAAATGAACTGCTGAAGCCTATCATATAATGGAAAGGAGCTCAGAATTCCCTATGTCTGTACAGTAATTTATAATTTAAGTTGTTTTGCTTTTAATGCTACATTATTTTACTCAAAAATATAAGTAGGAAACTTACCCAAGTTCTCTGATCAGGCAGTTGGAACTGGGAGCAAAATTGAAACAAAAACAAAAATTACTTCTGGATCAGTATCTTTATTACAATGTATCCTTTGAAAAATTAACATTTTTACTAAGTAATTTTTGCTTATCATGTAACTGTACCTCAAGTAAAAGCTCTGGAAGTGAAAATTAACTATTTTCATAACAATGCTGAGTTTCCTCTATTTACCTAAATTAAATTTTAGAATCAAGGTTATAAGTCAGAATGTGCTTTTTTTCAAGGAAGCTACAGGCTACCTACTACCAAATCTTAAATATAGCAAGGCAAAGACTTCCTTTTCATTCACAAGAGTCCTATACTTTAATAAGTAAAAAATGAAGCAATTTCTGGCAAAAAAATCTAATCCCTTGCATTTTCAAAATGTTAACAAAAAAGAAAATAAGATACTCAAATGAGAATCAATGAGTAACAAAAGGTTAAAGTATTATAAGGCACTGCTTCACTTTGATTAGCATGTCAGACCATCAGTCATCAGAACACCTAGGATACTAATGAAAAGAACTACAAATGTCTAGTTATTTATGAAAAAATAACTGGGAAAAGCTTCAGTAAGTTAGAAGGCTTTTTTGGACACCAATGTTCATTTTCCAGAACACAAAAATACCATTTTACTTGGTAAAGGGAATATATCTTGCTTTTGTAAGTTATGGTATCTTTAAATAGTAAAGATACATAGTTTTTAAGGATAGAAGTTATAGTGCAGAAAAATCTAACAGTACAAACACTTGTTGAAAGTAAACCAGAAGAGGAAGGGCAAAAGAGTGAAGAGTTTTTTCACATCAATATATAAATCAAAACTTGGGGAATGAAAAATTTCCCAGTTTCCTGGGATGCTGTAACAGGATGGTTAGACACTTTAAAAGGAAGAAAATAAAAATGAATGCATACAGGACAGAAATGGAAGTAAAAATGAGTCTTTGTTGTATATGGACACAAAGCCAAACATCTATAAAATTAAATGCATAAATAACCAAAAGTTAAATTTTAAGTATAAGAAAAGCAAATCAAAGAATAAGTGCCAATCTTACAACAGTGCAATTACCAAATGATTCCTATGGCAGTTCAAAGGAGCTATTGATGTGAATTCAAAGTTCCCCAAATGCAAACGACCCAATGAAAAGAACATGTGATACCACTCTCTCCAGCTCACCTACTGGTGGCTGACATCTCCTTTTCAAAATTATAATCTAAACTAAGAATCCACAAACAATTTCAACCTTGTATCCAGGGAGAACCTCTACAGAGCTTATTTCCCCTTATGAGTTATATTGAACTAACTTGTTTACAAGAGAAAAACAGAAGGTTAAATAGTACTCTAGTGACCTGACAGAGCAAACATACTTCTTTAAGAATTGAACTAAGAGAGGAATTTAGACCAGGAGAATGATTAAAATATATATATATATCTTTTAATTTTGATGTATGTGTTTCTATATCTTCAAACTATTTTTGACAATGATTTTTTAAATATATATTATTACTATTCCAAAAGGCAATAAGATGGCCTAATAATTTTTAATAAAATTCAATAAGTACCTATTGCAGTGTTCACCTTTCATTGATTAGGAATTATGCCCTGGGGAGGGACATGCCGGGTAGAATGGGAAGACATGCAAAAATTGTAAAATCAGGCTTGCCCGGAGAATATCACTTTATATATCTATTTATAGGATTTACATATCTATTTGTTTCCCCAAAAGCACTGAGAATATATGATCTCCTCTTTGATATTAAGATAGCCCTGAGAAATAGACAGGGCAGGTATCACTCCCATTCTGAAGACAAAAATCCAGAAGCCCCAGAGGGACTGTGTGCTCTGCTCAAATACTCAAATGGGAAATGAAGTGGTGAATGGTTCTGTTTACCCATTTGTTTAACTTATAATATCATGGCAAGTCCTGGGAGTAAAGGCAAGCCCTTTCATTTTAGCTTCTTGCTCTGTGTCACTCTTACTGCTGTCAAATAAGATGCAGCGCCAAGAACACAGTGAGCATCTTTCCAAGTACTTCTGGGTACAGACTACAGCCTCACCAAGAAATTAGTCTCGGGGAGATGGCAGGAGGGGATTTTACTGACATTCCTGTGTATTCAAGAGAAAAGACTTCTGCATCCATTAACACTAAGAGCTTTTCCTCCTTTAGGCTCTTCTACATACCAAGCACTATGCCAAACGTTAGGCTGACCCCTGCAGCTGCCCTGGTAAGGCTGGAGGGGGTATCCCATTACACTGACAGAGGGCTCAGAGAGGTGCTTCACTGCCCAAAATCTAAGCATTTTTGGTAATACATAGTAAACCCAGTTGTAAAGCAGTTATTTCAGGCCCCAAATCCCGGGCAGTCTTTTTTTGTGCATTTGTTTTTGTTTGTGGGAAAGTGGATCTTAGAGGCAAGGTTGGAATTGATAGAGTATGCTAGAATGAACAAAAAAATTCTGCTGAAACTTCAGAACATGTGAGGCAGATTTTCTGAAAACAGAAGGACCAGTGTGGGGGCTTGGTGAAAATGGGGTGAGCCAAGCTTCTCCCAGGTGACAGTCTTTATGCCACTAGTGATATGTATAGCCAGTACACATGAAAACAGCCATGATGGCTATAAAAAGAATGAAATATTTCTGTAGTAGTTGGTTCTGTATACAGCTTCTTTCCCAAGCACCCAATGGTTCCCCTGCTGCCCTGGACTCCTCCTGAAAGACCCTTTGAGCACCCTGCCAGCCCACAGCTAAAGCATTAACAGTTGGTGCAGCAAAGGCTTTCAGGACCCTGCTCCAGAATGACAGGGTCTATTCTGATTGGTCAGTATGCATGATCTACAAGGTGTTAAATATTTTGATTATCACTCTGGGGTTCCTTTCAAATAGTAACATGCAGGAATAGGCAGTCCCTTACACCAACACCTGGCATGCGGCAAGGAAATCCTCTGCCTCTGTGCTTCCACAGACATGCTCACAAAGGTGGGGGGAGGGAGACTGGGGGGAATGATAGCTCTTCTCCAAGCACTGTACATGTGCCTCATCTTTTGTGATCCCTCCTTAACTGTGAGAATATTAAAATAAGGCAGATTTTCTGATATAATTAGATTAAAAATATGCACATACTATGTTTATAACAGCTGCATACACATGTGGAATTATTGGCGGGCCAAAAAAACTGCCCATCTCATGAACCAGTAAATTTACCTTGGCTAGCTAAAATTCGAATTTCAGAAATAGAGACCTTACACCCAACTCCCTTCTCTTACAGATATGGAAACTGAGAGCCAGATCGACCTAGTTGCTCAAAGACCATGATCCCCAGTCTTTTTTTCTCCATTATAGCATGTACCCATAGCACTAAATTTTGAAGGGATTAATTACTAGATTCTAAAGATTATTAGAATATGAAAACAATATGATTATTGTAATTAAATGTATATAACTATAACACCAACTGTAACTTAGAAGGAAGTTATCAAGATATACTTTTTGTGCAATAAGTGACACAAAATGCATATTATATTCAGGTTTATTAGCCAATGAGGCCTACAAGTGCAATTTAGATCAGCCTAAATGTAAAATATAAGTACCTGATAAACACTTAACTACTTTAGAACTTGTTTAAGGTAATTATGGAAATGATACCATTCCTTAGCCTTCTTATATAAAATGAATATCAACTAGAATATTTGTACACCTTTTAATACTAAATCATATATTCTTTCAGTTGAAATAGGATTTTTGAACAATGATAGATTTCTCCAGCTATCCCCAGAAGATGGTATTTCAGCTCTCATACACTGTTGTTCACGACTGTGGAAAGGTACTAGAAAAGGTAAAGAAGTGAGAATGGGGGCAGGGGGAGTCATATCCCAAGATTATTTAATCTAATTACCTCATAACTTTCTATAAGACATTTCTGCTTTCAACCCAATTCTGACTGACATGTAAGCCAGTATTTTAGAACAACCACATATATAGGACATAAGGGTGAAACAATTAGATAATTCTGCTTCGCATTCTCTTTGCAATGAGAAACTGTACATATTTTGATAAGTGGATACAACTCCATTCAGCAAATAGCTCTGTGTACTGTGGTGAATTCTTGTACAATTACAGAACTTTGCTGGAATGCCCAGCAATCTCTAGATAAATTCCTTCACCCTCTATGGTAATAACTTGTCAGGTAGACTCATTTCCTGTTTTTATCTAAGCACCAGAAGAACGTGAATAACCTTCATGGGTTTGGGACAAGTCACACTATGATCCTTTTCTAAGTATCTGTAATTTTTAAACCCAAAAGACAACTTCAGTATCTATTTTCTTCACTGAAAATACTTCAAAACACACTCTGGCTCAGTAAGTAGTTAATAGTAGACAATAAGTTAATACCAAAACTATGTTATTTTGATGCATATATTAATTACTTTTTCCTTAAAGAGTTTGGTTTTTCATTCTGCTAGAATTTCCTGTGTTCTTCCACACCAGCGTCATAGGAAATCCTAATGTTCTCAAGATTTCTTTCATTTCATTGCACCTGCTTTTCAGGATCAACAAGTTAGTTTACAAGCTTGAAGTCTCAAATTCAAAATACTTACTTGTGGATGAAATAAGAATCCTGGAGAAGGTCTCAAGTATTTCTCTTTTAAAGCCTCAAGAGGGTCAGTTAGTTTTCTTTTCTCTACTCTGAAAGGTTAAAATCAGGTTTTGGAGATGAATCAGTCTCATATATCCATCACAAATAATCACTGACATTTAAAGCAGCTGACAATAAAGCAAATGGTAGGTTTCTGGGAAGCACAGCAATAAAAACATTAAGTCTTTCAGTTCTTGAAGAACACTCTTGGCACTTCTGGGCAATCAGAGAAACAGGGTCCTATTTTTAATGGGAAAATCCTACTGAATGACTAGTAATAATAAAACAAGAAAATGTAAAAAAAGGAGTCACCAGCTCAGAGGCATTGGTCACAAATTTGTACCTTCCCATTTCAAATGTAGGTAAGATGCTTGGTGATTTTGAAATCATAAGGAGAGGGTTCATTTTGAAAATTAAAGTCATTTTCTAACATCCCAAATAGTCATTATATTTCTTCCATATTTGCCAATGACAGCAGGAGAATTTCTAAGCATACTTTACACCCTGCTAGACACCCTTTAAGTGATAGGCATGTTCTAGGTGCCACCTCTGATAAATAGGCAGGTAAAGTCGATGGTGTGGGAAGAGAAAAAGGAACTTTTTGAAGAATAGGAGAGACATATAAACTTATCTGTACATCTCTTCTTTTTTTTTAGAAGTGTTTGTCATTCTCTTTTCTATTAAGCATATAGGAAATGACATCATGGATTGAATGAATTTCTTTCACCAACTGTTGGTAACTTTCTTTTAAATGATGTTGAATAAGTTCACTTAAGATAGAATCAAAATGAATAAAACAGCTATTATTTCTTGAAATTTTATATATGCTATGTTTTGCATACACTATTTCACTCATTGAAATGGGTATTCTTATACCCACTTTATGAATGAAAACAAAGTTTAAGATAAGGGAATCTGAGATTTCAACCCATGTTTTGTACTAAAACTGGGGTTTAAGTCTCCCATTAGTTTGGTAAAATGACAGATCTTGAGCCTTAACTGTGACTGAAATACCTGAGAAGATTTAAATTAGATTAAGCAACAGTAAGGTTAGGAGGTGAGGGAGAAGAGTATAATGGGTGTGTTGAAGAACTGGAAGCCCCTTGGGAGGGTCTAAGAAAGGCAGTCTGAGAAATTATCTTCACAAAGGACTAAGATATGTCACTGAGTTGGAAATACCACCTTACTGGCAATGTCTAACATGCAAGATACACATAAAAAAATGAAAAACCTGTTTTCCTTTCTTTTTCTTTCTCTACTAATAGGACTGCCACAGCAATTAAGATAAAAATTTTTTTTGAAGTGCCCAAGCATGGTACTCATGGCTCTGAGATATTTTTGTATTGTCCTGTCTTATTCCCCTTTCCATGCTCAAGTAGTAGTAGCCCTTAATGCACTGGCAGTATTCTTGGTTAATGTATCACTGATAGTTTAGGTAGAAAAAGAGTTTTGTTTTGTTTTTGTTTTTTTTTGAAAGGGCATCTCTCATATTTATTGATCATATGGTTGTTAACAACAGTAAAATTCTGCATAGGGGACTCAATGCACAATCATTAATCAACCCCAAGCCTAATTCTCAACAGTCTCCAATCTTCTGAAGCATAACGAACAAGTTTTTACATGGTGAACAGAAAAAAGAGTTTTAAGTGAAAAGAGCTTGCAACCTTAGTACCTATTAAGTAATAGGAGCTAAGCAAATATTGTTGAATAAAAGAATAGCACAAAATTGTCTCTTCATATAATTGAATCAGGCAAAAATATGCAAGTACTCCCATCTTAAATAAGTCCAATAAAAAATTATCCACAGCTTCCAATGACTCTTGATGATGTTCAAGATTTGAGTGGGAAAGTAAATGTGAAAATGCTTGGAAACATTTAAAATACATAACAAGCATAATTATTGTTATTCATACTTTTTAAAGAAAGCTAATAGTTAAAAACTAAATCACTCTGAATGGACAGATGAGTGTGACAGAATACTGCCTAAGAGGCTTTTTGTTAAGCATATATGTTGCCCCCCAGGGATTTTTGGATGCATCAAAGAAAACTGGACAATGAAGGCATTAAACAGAGAGGCATTAAAAACATGTTTTTAAGCTGATCACTCACATTACATACTAAACACTTTTGTTTCATTTACTGGGGCTCTCAGGCAATTTATTTAGGGATAGCGTATGACCAGTGCTTATTAAGGATGTGTTGGTAGGTTAACAGAGAGTAAGCTCTTGCTGTTCTATGTCCCATCTCATTCCAAATAACCTGACCTATTTAAGTACCCACACATATTTGCATTAATCCTTCAGGAGCCTCATTCTTCTGCCACTTGACAACTTGCTTTAAATATGGCTTTCCCATATTTTCCACGTTAAAAAAAATTGTGTTTAAAAATAAATTTATTATCAAGGGAAAGAACTCTGTGGGCCTATTCCAAAACCCCAAATTCAGAGACATCCAAAAATAAGTCCAAGCCTAATGAGTCGACTTTCTGAATAAAAAAATGAATTCACTAGATAAAACAACTTTACTTTCTGCTTTGAAAGAATCATAATAAAAATGGTTTGTTAAGATTTCTAAGTCCACAGCATAAACATGACCTTTCGCATATATGTCCACACTGAACCATCTCCCATCCTCCCTTACCTGTAAATAGGGTCCATAAAGAAAGGAGTGGGTCTCGCGTGTTGCAAGGAACCATCTGAGGACGGTCTGGTTTCAACACTGCTTCCTTTCTTTTCCCCAAACACGTGGTTTTTCCGAGGCTCCGTCAGCTTTGTCCCACTGGCTCTACTCCTACTGCCCATACTTAGATCCAGGGGCTGGTCCTGGCTTGTGGCAGATGTTGCTGGAGGTTTGGAGGGTACAGGAGTCAAGGGCTTCTCGTCCTTTCGCTTAGTGGTGAGATCAAAGGGAGACTCAGAGCTTCCCTTCGGCAGTTTCTTTACTTCACTTGGTGATTGGGGTTCCATTTTCAAAGGTAACGATCTCAAGTCTCTATCAGGAAATGGGTACATTGACTGAGAGAATGCTGGAAAAAATGGGAGGGGAAACATGGAAGGGTAAGGTAAAGCTCCAACTTTTTTGTCTTGCAGCCCCACCAGTCCTGTTGAACCAAAGTATTTTTCAGCAATAGAAGCAATAGCCTTTATAGAATCATTCACAGCTCCTGACACGGCAGTTTGCTCCTCTAAAGATGGTGAGAAAATGGAATGATTGCTGTATTCTTTCTTATTATGTATTGAAGCCAGATTCTGAAGAGGGCTTACTTTGTCTTTGAACATTTTACCATTTTCTTTAAATTTCTCTTTATCACTTTCAATGTCACTTTCCAGATCAGAGCCCGAGGTTGTTTCCAGGTCACTGCCACTTGGAGTACTGACATCATCAAGGTCACTACTCTCTGACTGGTCACTGATTTTCTCAAGGGGCCTCTCTTCAGAGGACCTCTCGGGCTGGAGCTCCACTGGCTTATTGTCCCCTACAGGTGGGTGTTTAGATAGTGCCTTCAAAATATCCTGTGTGGCTGGCAGTATCTGAGGATGTGTCATGAGGGGACTTTGACTTTTGTTTGTCTGTTCAGTACTTGATAGTCCTTTAACAGGAGAACTAGCAGGTATCAAAGGAGGCCTGTGGTACAAGCCGGAAGGAAACAGACCGGGGAAGCTAAAAGAAAATCCAGGAGCTGTTGGAAAGGTAAGACCAGCAGGATGCCTATTGGCGCCAAAATAGTCAGCAAGGCCCGGGTTGGCATGACTCATATTAACCATGGACGTTTTATCCATAGCTGGGGTTCCAGGAAGTGAAATGCCTTGGCCAAAAAATCCACCTGCCGCAAAATGGTTCTTGCCCTCACAAAACCTCCTGTGTTTATTTAAGGAAGACGTAGTGCTGAACATTTGTCCACAGTCTTTGCACTTGATTTGGGTTCTGCAATCAGCATGCATGCGCTTATGACGACAAAGGTTTGAAAACTGAGTATAGGATTTATGGCAGACCTCACCTGTGTGCAAACAACAAAAAACAATCTCAGGCTTTATGGCAATTGCTTCTGAATTTAGCAAGTATCACAACTGGTTCACCCAAAATTTCAATTAGGAAGCCAGGAAAAGTTGTTGGAGGCACCAGTCGGGGTGCACCAAACACAGAAAACCCCATTTCACTAGATTCCAAAGCAAGGCATCCAACCTGACAAATGTCTTGAGGCAGCACAAATATTTCATATTTAAATATATATATATATATAATATCTTGTCATCCCCATTGCATAATATTTTGCATAGCTGTGTATTTAAATATTTAATATAGAAAAGTCCAAGTCCAGCATGCATTGATTTCCCACTTCATTATTACACTAACAGAATCTTGAAAATTAAAGTCTTTAGATGTACTAAGTATGAAACCTTAATAGGAACCCCTTTAAAATTTTATACCATTTAAAAAATTCCATATCGTGGGCACCAAAATAAAATTAAGCAGCCTTTCCCTCGACCAGAAACTTCTCCTTTATTCCCTCTCCCCTGGGGGAAAAAGCCTGTGACTGCTCTACCATTATTTAATTTGCATTATATCATACACTCTCATCATTCACACATCAAAGCCACACAACAATGCACATTGTGTATTCTGAGACATTTTTAACAATCATTTTCATGATTTGAGAAAGACTGACATAATTTACAATGGCTCTATTTTAAGCCTGCAAAGGAAACTAAATTGAATGTGGCCCATCCTGCATTGCTGGTTCCCATGAACTATGAGCACGTCCTCTGACTTCCCCTCACACCAGTGGTTGTGCTAACCTTCCTGCATTTATGAAACTCCCGTCCTTGGGAAATATGTCCACTTGTTGTCATATCTTGGCCGGCTATCTTGAGGCTTGACTTCTAAGTGGCTCAGCCAACCACAGTCGGTAGGGAAGAGTGCTTGGAGGGCTCTGTTCCAGAAAGAGCGCAGCAGTGGGTGCAGCTGGGAAAGAACCCTCTTCACCGTGAACTTGCCAGAAAAGTAGAACATCTTCCTCCACACATACACGTAAACAGATCTGAGTGTATTTTCAGACCCAACTCCATAACCCTTAAGAACCCCTTTGCCAGGGAACAGTCCCGCCCACTTTCACAGTCCAGCAAGATTATACTATCTGCTCCCTAAGCATCATGCTTTTTATTTTACTTTAGTAGAGCTGAGTCGACTTTATGTGTGAGCTTACTTTAATGCTTCTGTTGTACTCTTAATACATGCAGAAACATGATAGGCCTTGTTGGTAATTGTTGAAAAAATTTATATAAGAAATGAAACTGAAGATGAAGTACAACATTTATTGCTTTCATGTGATGACTGCTTTAAGCAGAATAAGAAAGAGCCCCTAAGTCAAAACAATGATGATTTAAAGAAAAATATCATTCAAGGAGATTTTAAAGATCTTTAGTCATGCAAAACTCACCCAGAGCTTAGATTACCCTACATACCACTAACCAGGAAGTACCAAGTGATTCCATATCTATTTCTTTTACTACTAATGATTAAAATGCATTAGTACATATATCAGTGTGCTTAGTAATAGTGAAACGACTTTCAACTGTGGGGTGATTCATAACATGAATCTGTAAGCTGTAACGTGAGTTTTAATGCAAAGAAAAAAATTGTGAGTGATTTCTTCTATAATTCAAATTATTCTACTGGAATATATTGATCAGAGTCTGTTTTAAAAGTACATACTAGTTAACTATATATATAACAAATACATATACTATTTAAATTCTTTGATATGCTAATGAAAACATATATATAAAGGGTAGAAACATGAGACTTTCACTAGTTATATTACTTCAGCTATGAGTAATAATGAGAAATAGTAAATCGAATGACTTTGAAATTATAAAAGTCCACTCATTAAGAAAGCAACACCTCTCCTCTGGGCATTAAAAGGCACTGAGAAAATGTCTTGATGGGTATTCAACCACAGTGTAAGTTTTTGAAAGGTTTGCAATTTTTTGGCAAAGAAATGTTGCTCTCTACACTTCTTTCTTATAGCTGCATGGATTTAAGAAAATCAAGAGCTTCTCTATATTGGAGTAACAGAAGGTGTATTTGACTTTCCTGGTTGTATCCAGTGTTACACAGATGAGCAGTGTCCACGTTGGGTCTCAAGAATATAGACTCTGGAATGTTTCCTTAGGCAGAGGCTTTGTTTTTCTCACTTGAAGGCCTGGCTTGGCCCACCGCAAACCATCAGGCCTCCAGGTAAATGGTTCAATTGATGTTCAAGTCTATACTCTGCTGTAATTTTCTCAGTAATAAGGAATTAGCCAGCAGTTAACATTGCATTTTTCTACTTATTAAACAAATTAAGAGGTATTTTGAATATGTTCAGCCTATTAGAGCATGTGGTTTCTATTTGGGAAGGCTGGAGGTTTCTGTAAAGGCAGTGAGTAATTACCTTAGCACTGGTGACTGTGGGCCCTAGCTTGGCGGTACACTGTAATAAGAGACAGTTGCCATAAACACACCAGTGGGGGTAAATCATGGTGTGTGGCCCTCTGGTGAGAAACAGATATCAACTCTAGGTGAACCTCCTCCACCCCAGAGTCTCCACACCAACTCCTCTTTTGTTCTGAAATTACACAGCTATTATTCATAATTACCCCCATGGTTCTCTGTCAGATTTTATATTTGAAGAATGCCATCTGCTATTTAAATTTACCAATAACTACGGAAAATACATTCATGGGAAACAGTTTGTGCCATCTGATTGGAAAGGGACACCCTATAGAGCTTTAAAGTGAAACACTTGACTTTGGCTCAATTAAAATTCCAGATCGCAGAATCTTAAATAGGAATCTAAATTTTCTGATTTTCATTTTAAATAACAGAGAAAACATTAAGTGGGCGATCATAACTTGTTGTGACCTGTTCTGCTTTATTTTTCCTCACCAAAACATAATAAATTAATCAAATTTTATTTCTGAAAAATTAGAAATGAATGAGTTTTTTTATGCCTGTAAACACCTGCAAGTACATTTTTAGGGCATTATGACCTAGAGTCAGGAATGCCTTTTTGACACAAGAAGTCTAAAATTTCTACTGTATAATTTATTTCCCATGACTTTCAACAGAGCTTTGCCAAGGGAGACTAGAATAGAGCACCCTTTTGTTTATCTGCTACTCCTCTTCATTCCACCCAGGGACCTGGGAGCAAAATAGGACTCTAACGTAATCTGGAAAGAGAAAAGAGACTCTCTTGATGCTTGGAAGCACAAAAGAGGGCTGTGTCAAGGCAAAAAGGAGAAGGGTTAGTCTCTGGCATCTCCATGTTGGCCCTGAAAATCGTTTTTTTTTCCATCAGGTCCTGTAGTAGTATCTCATATGCCTACTACAAACCATTAAGTATTTGTCCAAGAATTCTTATGCAAGGGTTCCCAAGTCAGAGATCTTGCCAACTACTGAGTATGTTTCAACCAGTTCTCTGCCTATCTGGATCCAAAATCAGCCTTGAGATTTGTAACACAACTCAGTGAGTCACTGTGTTTATACGCCCAGCCGAGAATGGATCAAAAGCAGTCCAGAGTCACTGCCCAGATGAACTGAGAACAACTGATTTTCCTTGTGAAATATTTCAGCACAAAACAGAGAACAGGAGTGGGTGGACACAAGAAGCAAACGAGGGCTCAGTTTTGCTTTACTTGAACTGTGACTGAAGTGCTCTGTACAGGAACGTTCTATATAGGTGGTCAGATTGGATGTCCCCTAAAAACACACGGCCTGTAAATGTGCTTTAGTGCGGTAGGTTATAGAAGGAACATGTCTGGAATCAAAGTGAAAATGTTCTGCTTTCTAAGCAACTGAGAACTACTGATCTGCAGCCTGTGATTGGCAACAACCGGTAGATCAAAGGACATTTTATTCCTCTTTCCCTCTCCCCACTCACACACTCACACACATACATGCAGAGTCATGAGCCTACTTGCCAGGTGGGATTCTTCCAGCTCTTTCTGATCCAGAACAGGCTTTTATCACTTCATCTTGTTTAGTGGTATCTGTTATTTGCTGTTTTACAAAGCCTTGAACATTTTCAGTTTTAAGACAAATCTGGTTGTCTCTATTAAATCCTACATCTTGGGGAGGCTTCCCTTTCATTTTTTAACGACTACTCTTTTCTCTGCCTGTTATTGATTTCATCTAAAAGAAAACACCCCAGGGATCATAGACAAAATACCATGGATCTGGTTATAAACTATTTTCTTGTAATAGAAAATAGCCCTACTGGATAAGACCATAAATAGGTAATGCAGAGACCCCTCTAATGGCCACATGTGGCCACTCTCCTGATCATAGTGCCTTTTGGACAAGAGACAGATGCAGGAAGGAGGGCTGAGTGGTAAAAACTTACAGATAAAGGGCTTCACACTGCTGTGGATGTGCTTGTGTTGTTTGAGGCCCGACGAAGTGGCAAACGTCTTGCCACACTCCGGGCAAGCATGAGCCCGGGCACCAACGTGCTGAGAGCGAATGTGCCGCTGAAGGTTGCTAGGGTCCGTGAAAACCTGCTAGGAAATGAGTACTGATTAATCAAGAAACTTAAGTCAAGGACACAATAAAGAAGACCAGGAATGACTCAAGAAGGAATTCTGTTTATTGTTTATTTGAGTTTTTGTTTATGTTTATTGGTTTTTATTGGTTTTGTTTTATTTGATATTTGTCATATTTCCAATGCATGAGCTCCACTAGGTAGGGACTATAAGTTACTCAGCTCTATATCCTTAGCTCATAGTGTCCATTGGAATAAGTTGAACAAAATAATTAATGGCATTACTGGACCATATTCAAAGCTTTTTTGATTTCATTTAGAATATTTAGTATTGAATAATAAAATGCCAGCTGTGACATAATTAAAACTGGTGTGCTATTTCCATGCTTTAAACAAAGACACACTATGTACAAAATAGGGGGCATTTTGACTAACATATCTCAAATCTATTCAAGGATCTCCCCTAGTGTTAGTTAATGCTAACACTGTGTTTCAGTCAGTTACCATTCAGTTAACATCATTCCTTTGGACACTATACTAAAAAAAGAAATGAAAAAAGCACCTACATATCTGGGAACAAAATATCTCTGAAGATTATTTCAAATGTCACAGTTTCCATTGGCATGAGGAAAGATATTCAAGTGCCAATAAGTTTTTAGAAATAGAAGTCAACATTCATAACACTAGAATATTTTTTAGTTAATTGAGAAACATGAAAATTAAATGATGTGAACCACTATTCCATAGCTCAGAGTAATGTTCAAGGTGCAGAGTTTACATTTTACCCATATCCTGGTCAGCACTAGCCACTAAGGTGCTACACCTTTAATTTAGAACCAAGTCATGATTTATGGTGGAGATGTGGGGGGAAAAATCTGCAAATGTAGTAGTCTTCCATTCTTTCTGAATAAGCATTCAGAAACTTTATGTGACTTCCTCACAAATTGCTATTAAAAGAAATCAGTACTGTGCATTGGATAAAATTTTCATTCTCCATAAGGCTGTAAAACAACCCTACACTAGCAAGCCAGTAGCAGACCCTGGAATTTACCAAGGATGTCTGACACCTAGTGCTGGAACTCACCATTAAGCCTCACTTCCTCCCTTACAAAAATAAAAGGATACCTACTAACTTTTTATACACTGTAGTAATGCCTTTTAGCATATAACACTCAGTCTACTTTTCTCAAGATATTTATAGTTTCCCCTCTCAAGGCTTGTTTTTATATTTCATAGCAAGTGATGGATTAAGAGACAGAGGATAGCAGAGAGAGGCCAAATAGCCTACAAATTCACTGTACCTTGGCACAGTTTTCACATTCATAGTGCTTTCCACTGTCATGTGACATCTGGTGGCGAATTAAATTGGACTTCCAGTTAAATGCCTTGGGACACTGGTCACACTTGTATTCCCTCTCTTCAGTGTGTGACAACATATGTTTCTCCAGGCTGTTAAGAGAATAATTGATTCAATAAGAAATGGTGACAAAGAACACATTCATAAATAGAATGTCATCTTATTACTAATCCAACTGGCAATTAAAGAACTAAGAAGGAAAAGTTGAGGTGAGAAGGAGGAAAGAGAAGAAACAGGCTTGTTTGGTACATTTTGTGTGGCCTAGACTGTGTCTCACTAGTACAGATAAGTACCCCTGTTGTTAGAAAATGAATCTGATACAGCTATCAAGGATTAGTTGCCAATATAGGGTGTGATAAACAACTAGCTATTTGTACAGTTCTGGATTCACTCTACAATTCTAACAACTCATAATTCTAATACCCACTTAATTCAAGTGCAAACACTCAAAACAGAAAATGTTAAGAAAATGTTTAAGAACATTCAGGCAGTATTCTATCTAATGCATATAACCTCTTAGATTTAAAGAAGTATTTTTGTTTCTATCCACATCACCCCATGGGAAAGTGAGCTGTTAGCTAACAATTTAACAAGCAGCTTCCCAATATAATCCTGGGATGGATGAATGTATGGTAGGTGGATGTACCAATGAATGGATATGTGTGTATACAGATATGGAAGTAGATACAGATATAGACAGAAATATTATATAGAAATATGTAATTCATATATCCTATGAATTAGGGAGAAAAGTGTATAATATTATAAGTGGATGTACCAATAAAGCCCCTCAAAAAATACAGTGGGAAGTCTCCTATGAGCATAGTTTCTCTGTTCTAAAGCTTAGAATATTTTTCTTTCTCAAATGTTGTCCTCTCTTTTCAAAAATGTGTATATGAAATCCGAATGAATATAATGAAAAGCAAATATTGTAGATAATGGATTACAGTGATGTTCAGATGTTTGCAACATTTTTGCTAATTAAATATATACTAAACACACATCACACACTGGGATTCTTTCCACAAACAAAGCAACCAGAATTCCTTGGAAAATAGCCTGTTTCAAATGCGAAGCAGGAACACACAAGACATTATGGCAAAAGCAAGAAAGTTATAGGTGATGTGGAAAGAATTGGGGTACCAGTCTGAAAAGACGCCTACTGACCAAAGATGGGGAAATGTTAGCTTCAAAACAAACAACAATCTCATCTTTCAACAATAATAATATTCAAAAACACACAAACAGAACCTCACTGGTCATCCTTGGGAGATACTGGGAAGCCAAATCATTACTATGGAAACTAGTAAAGGAAAACTCTCACCCACGTGTTCTGCCTTTCGTATATGAACTGTACTTTAGGGTAAGCAAATAAACAGTGAAGGGGAGTTTCTCTGCACAGAAATAATCCGGAAAATAAATAGTGAAAAAATGGTAGAAGTAGAATTTTACATCCCATAAAAAATTAATGAATCTAGCCAATCCATCATGTGCCTCCTGATGGAGGTAAATATTACCATCAGTGAGATATTCTTCCTAAAACATTGAACCTAAATCTGATCAAGGCTTGGGATGTAACTGAGTTTACAGGAGGTAAGAGGATGCAGAAAGATGTTAAACAATACCAAGGGGATACAATCAGTAGAATCCACACTGGAGGAAATGCTACAGGAAAAGCTACTAAGTTTCTTCTATAAATAAATGTAATATGAGAGAAAGAGAAGGAGGAAGAAGAAGAGGGGGAGGGAGAAAGAGAGACTTACTAACTGGGGGAACCTATAAATTAAAGGCAATATAAGAGGTATGTCATCCAATTGCAATGCTGGACCTTATTTTGATCTTAATTCAAAGAAAAAACTCTAAAATAATTAGGTAAGAGGGAATTTTAATACTGATGGAATATTTGGTAATACCAAGGAATCATTATTTTTGAAGGGTGGTGTTGAACTATGTTTAAAAGAGTCCCTACTCTCTACAGATACAGAACGAACTATTTATGAATAAAATGAAAGAATATTCAGGATTTCTTTCAAATTATCCAAAAAGAGTAAAACTGAGACAAGATTGGCCCTGTGTGAAAATTATTCAAGTTGAGTATATGGGGATTTATTACACCATCCTATCTAGTTTTGTGTATATTTAATACTTTCTATAATAAAAACGTATTTTAAAAAACTACCACACATGCAAGCACTCTTTCTTTCCCGTATTTTATTTTTCTGTGAGATGAACAGTCTAAATTTGGGTATCAACTAAGACCTCTGTGCACCTACAACATACTTTCTGGTAATGGTATAGACTGTGCATGTGGCAGTGTGTGTGAATAAACGAAGTGCCTTTCTCATGTCTTTATAAATTAGAAGTACCTTTCCCATATTTTTTCTCTTCCTTGGCTTCCTCCCTGCAAGTCTATTCATATTGGCACATAAACTTATTTTTCCTGTCCCATGAGTCAGTGAGTTGGTAATGCTACTCTGTTTGAGTACAAATGGTGATATCTCTGTGAACAAAAGGTACCAGGAGAGTACAGGTGTGTGGAGTCACAAGAACAGCCCTATCTTTATCTACAGTATGCAACCCTCTATTTGCTACAAGTTGAAATGTTACTGAGATAGTTAAGAGAGAGAGATCAACAACTTCAGTTAACATTGAACTGAGTCAGGGACATCTTCCAAAATCACTGTACAGATTGCTATTCTCACAGCCTTCATGACCTTCACAACCCATAAAGGCATGCCGTTTTAAGACATACATTCTATTATGCATGTCAAACCATAAACTCTGAAATCTAGTGGTAAGGATTGGCCTGTGCATTGAGTCATTCCTGTACCCTAACTCCAAGGGTATGACACAGTTTTAAGAGTATAGTACATGGCCTGTAGTGGGGGAAAAGGCAAAGCAAGAGGAATTTTCCTATTTTTGCCTCTTCTAATCTAGCATAAAATCCATGTTGTTCCATGAATTTACCAGCTATTAACTAATCAGTTGTAGAAAGAATAAAAAGGCAAGTGGTTCTCACAAAAACAAGTGTGCATTCCTCTCATGAACACAGAAGCAACCCAGTCAGTCATTAGTGACACTTCTCCACTTTTCATAGAATTTTATCCCAATTTCTAGAGCCTTGCTTAGGCTGCTGGGTTCTTTTGATCTTTTGCATTTCAGCCTTTGTTCCCTGTCCTTCTTTGGGGGGATAGGGTATTCTCTGCCCAACATTTTACATAAAAATTGCAGAACAGAATAATAGGTCATGCAAGAAAGGATTTTTCATTTGGTTAAAGTATAAAGCAACAATATAGTATTCAATAAAGTAAAAATATTCAGAGAATGTAGCTTCTACATGAGGCTAAATTATATAATCAAAAATATCACTTGGATGATTGATGTCAGGTAGCGTGGTCACATGCTGTACCCATCTGGCTGAGCTACCAAACACTGAGTTTTGAAGCTTCATCCAATGTCAGATAATTAGGTTTCCTTATTGTTTTCCACTGAATGTTTGACCAAAGGAACTAAAACTGAGAGTTAGTTTTGGCATTCGGTAGAGTTGACTCAGGATTAATCTTCATGTAAGAAGTTTTATCTCCCTAAGAAATGTTGCTGTATACCTCTAGTAGGAAGAATGAATTACATTTTCGTGTTTAGTCTGTCAAGTTTTGTTTTATAATGCCAATGTCCATTATTTTCAATAACAAAAATTGAATGAAATTGACTTAAACTCTGGCATCAGAGATACTGCTTTACTGTATAAATACTTTTATTTGTATTTATTAATTTCATTTTGTTTCTTCATTTGGAAACAATTATATTTAGGAGATGTGCTTTTTATTACAAATCCATATTTTGCTAAACACATATAACCTTTATTCTATATGTGAACTCACATTAAGTAGTAAAGATGAGTTTAAAGGGTGCTGAAAAAGCCTTCTTATTCTTCAAAATGTTTTTTTAATAGCTGAGTTAGGTCTGAATTTTCAAGCCTAGAGATTCATTGTTTTGACTCAGTTCTCTTCAAGGAATGGGTTATATTTGATACCTTAGTCACTTATGCATTAAAATGAATGTCTACCAAAAGAGATTCTTCCAAAAAGAGGCTAACCAGAGAAGCAGATTCAGGACAATCAATAAAGGTGAGAAGGGGAAGAAGTAGGGGAGGCACTATGGAAAGAAAGGAACAAAAATTGGTAAACTGAAATAGGTGGCGTGTCCAAGACAAACTCTTACTTATTCCCACTCTTTTGCTTACAGGTTCCAAGGAACATTTCCAAATTTAAAAGCAAAGGAATGAATGCAATTATTGAGATCATTTGTGGGCCAAGGCAAAAACCATTTGGTAGAAACAAACAGAAAAACTATTAGCTGGTTATATATGTCTCTGATTTGAAAGACCATTTGTAGCATAATCAGGCTTGCTGTTTTCTTAAATAGAAATAAAAAAAAAGTTCTTGAATTAAATTCAAATGGCTATAAAAAATATAGTGCTGAAATATGATTTTCATTTTGTTAAAATAAGCACTAAAGAATTATTTCATTTAGATCATGTATATTTTTTCCCTTTTGGGAAATGTAATGTTTTCTTCACTGAACATAATTTTTTTTTCTTTTACATATGTGCAGTTTAGATAAATAGTTGAAATTAAATGTATCTGTTACACTGATCTATCAAAAAGTATCTACCTTTCATTAAACAAGCACCACAACCAATTGGGGTTTTTTAATCATCTGAATGTTTCTAGAGGAAGTTTGACTGTTCGGCCTGTGATTAATTAGCATCACTATTGCTTCAGAACTGTTGTTTTTTCCTCTAAGTCATATTTTACTGTGATATTAAGCTTTCAGTTGCTGATAACCCTACTTAAATAAAACTAAACATATTATTTTCTATCTGGCATCAAAATAACTAATTCTAACTTCATTGTAAATATTTTACAGATGAGAATTTCCAGGGAAAAATAATTTCTGAACATGTCACTAACACACTTCTCAGACTCATTTCCATTCCAAATTTTCCATCTGCATAAATTCTGATAATTCAGCATAACATTTTATTTCAGAGCAAATAAACACATTTTGTAGTGCAACATGTCATTTCTAACCTTTGCAAGTCAGGAAAAACTTGGTCACATTCCTTGCACTCCTGGATTGCATGTATCTCTCGGAGATCATTTTCACTTTCAAGTTTTTGTTGAAAGTCCTCTTCCACCATTGAGAATGCTGAGTGAGGGGTACTGCACGGGAACTTTTGGTGATCTGCTAGTTCTGCCTTGGACTCAAAGAGCTGGTCACAGTCTTCACAGCGATACTGCCGTTCTTCTATGAAAACAGTGCAGATGTTACTGGGACTGGGCGATCAGGAAGTGCCTCCGCAGACCAGCAAGGCTTAATGAATTACGGAAGACATTAGAAATCATGGGGTTGCCATTTCCACCACTTCAATTTTAATACAGATTAGAAATAATGTACGTAGAGAAGCCAGGACGGAGCCTCACACGGTAACGTAAGTGATTACTGTGGCTACAGTATAACCTTCTTATCAGATAAAACTTTATGACTAAACCCTTCCAGGGTTTAATATTCACAGGATATTGAAAGTACTAATGACCACTTACTTCGCATCATCTATTTCCTCAACTCTGTACATGGATTATTGATATTCCTTAACCTGATTATGGGAAGTTGTATGTCAGATTTTTATCCCAGATGAGGATACTGAAGTTCAGAGTTCAGTAACCAGTCGGGGATTATAGAGTTAAGTGGTTATGCCAGGGTTTGAATCCATCTCTGTCTCATATGCTTTCTCATTGTGCCATGTAATCTGAAGGATTCATAGGACAAAGAGTCCTTATCTGAGCTATGCTTAAGGCTGGTTAATATCAGTAAACTTAGATGCTTCATTATATTCACCCTTACTGATACTGGGACACAGGATGTTTTTAGTATCCTTCGAGGCTAATTTATGCTACCCTGGGGTCAGTACTAATTGGCATTGCCATGTTAAATGGCAAACATATCATGAATGTACTTTAAATCAGTAAGATAAATAAATGGTAATAGTGAGGACTAGAGATAACAAGATCATAAAGTGTCAGGCAGTGATGATATTGTTTCTATTCTTCTCATCTGAATAGCTTCTATCCCACTTGTGAGGTCATACTATGCCCAGATCAACAAAGACATAATCATAGAAGGCTTGAAAACAGCTACCAATCTTGAAAAACACCCAGGGCAATATGATACATAATTCCTGTTTTATAAACCTACCAGGACTGGTAGCCAGTTGTTGAATGAGTGAATACTTTAGTCACCTGCCCATTGCTAGACATTTTGCTAGGAAACAAATATATAAAACACTAAAGGGGATACATGTGTGGACAGAGTGTGACATATTTTATGAAGATGCATGCATAGGGCCTAAAGGAGTCCAGAGAAACATGCCTAAACCATCTTATCTCATGCGAAGAGGTTCAGAAAAGGCTTTGAAATGAGTAAGAATCAGCCAGGTAAGGTGGAATGAGGAGGACAGTTCTGGCAGCAGGAATAGAATGGACACACGATGAAGGCAAGAAAGAGCAGAGCAGGCTCATGAAAGGCAAAGTCATAGTAAAGTATGACAGCTTTATAGGGTACATGGAGAAGAGGACCAGGAAATGAAGTTAGAGAGGGTAGCAGGTCTCTGGAGGCTTTTTAGATCCATGCTGAGGAGGGAACTGAGGGCCCACTAAGCTGGAAAGCCCTACTGTAGCACGGGAAGCCACCGGAGAGGTCAGGTGGGATGTCATCTGTAATCCACACAATGATACTGGGCTCGTTTAAACTAAATCAATAATGGAGGGCCAGAAAGGTAAAGAAATTAGTATGTAGATTCAGAAGGCTCTGTTAACTTCGGATATAGAGGCTTAGGGAAGAGGGAGGTATTCTAAAATAAATCCCCTGGCTCTACAGATCAGTTTCTTACTGGTATTCACTAGGTATGGAAATGTTTCTTACTGTTTGTTAACACTATTCACATATTTAAGGTCTACGTTTAGGATCCCAGCCACCAGCCTGAACACAAACAGAACCTCCAGGCCACATATTACATGAAAACCAAATGCAGCTGATGAGCTCAAGAGTGTTATAAAGACAAGTAATTTATGAATGGTAGCCCTAAAAGAATAGTCATTTCTACTTAGACGTTTTAGAATAATAAACAAATCATTTCTATTTCCAAAAATAATTGAGCACCACTTTGGATCTAACACTAATGAAAGATGCCTTGCCCCAGAGAAAGCCCAGATCACCGTTTTTCTCATCTAAGCACTCACAGCAATCACAGAGCCCTTTCCCATGGGGTCAGATGCCCCAATCCAGTTCAAATTCTAACAGGCTAGCTGTGACCCCTTGATTTCTAAAGGCATTTGCTTGTCAGGGTTTCTAAGAGGAAACAATTTCCCAAAGGCTCCCCAAATTACAGCTGGTATAACCCATAAAGAGGCAGAATACAGCTCAGCCAAAGGAAAATATTCAAGTAAAGAGCCAGCCAAGAGTGGTAGCTTCCTTGACAGGAGTGAGAGAAGTGGCTAAGCTTCTGCCATTCTGAATGCCAGAGCAACGGCAGGGGATGAAATGCCCACCTCTCAGCTACCTTGGGTTGTGTGACCCTTCCCAGTGTCCTTCCAGCTTCAAAACGCTCTCAAGATACCACTAGCTTATGTTGAACCAAATCATATTATATTAGAAGATAGACATAGGAAAGAAAAAAAAGAAAGTATTCAATTCTCATCCAAATCACACAACTCAGGAAAAGCAGAATTTTCTCTTATTCTTTCCTGAGCTAGCCATCATAATTCCTTTTGATTTCCCCTTCCTCTGATTTAGAATAGGTCTCCAGCAAATAAGATTTCTTCCAGCTCTAAAGTTTCCTCCTCTGTACATTCTTCCAGATTCCCATCCCAACAACCTCCCTCCCATATGGTCATGCCAGTTGGGATTTTGTTCAAGGAGAAACACTTTTCCCAGTAGTAGAACATCAGACGGGAAGAAACATCCACCTGATTTATGAAAGCCCCAAACTGAGTCCCCTGGAATGGCTTTTGTACAGTGAAAGGATTCTCACCATAGTCTAAGAAATTGACCAAAGGTTTAACTATGCAACATCTCAATCCAAATACTCAAAATGTCTTTGACCTCTGCTTACTTTAGCTTCAAAGTAGTATTAGCCAGATGTCAAACCAAGAAAACAACCACTCCAAGAGAAGGAATTTGTTAGAACTGACATTGACTAACCAAGAAAATTAACAACCACCAAGTGTGATGGACCCTTTCAGATGCTTCCTCACAGTTTCCAAATGAGGGTGAGGAGGGCAATGGTGTAGGGCTACTAACCATGGATATCCGGCGCCATAGTGTCATGGGGATAGTCTTCACTCTTCATGAACAGCAGGAGCTCCTCTCCTGGTGCAATGTCTGCAACTACTCTATAAAATATCTTCAAAAAACAAGAAAAGGGTGGGGTGGGAAGAGAGAAAATAAATAATAAGAAAGATACTAAGAGATATATATTAAGGGAGATACTAAGTATCTGCTTATTTTCTCAGATCTTAACAAAAATATTCCTTTTCATTTTTATCCAAAGAAGTGTGACTTCCTGTTTTATATACTGAAAATTAGCCTTCTGATGACAAATGGAAACCTGTGACTCTCATGACACTCCACAAATCTTTTCCAAATTCTACTTTACAAACCAAATTTTCCTTGTGCAAGGCTTTGCTGTGTCACATACACCCTATGTAATTTTTAACGAAGAACTTTCCTTTCTCTGAATTCAGCACTCTAGTGAAGCCTGCACATACTCACAGAGTGAATGTGTCTTGCGTTATCCAGTGTTAGTCTAACGGTGGCAGAGGCACAGTTACCCTCACCTTGAGCATGTTCTCAGTAATAGCACCTTCTCAACGAGGTGTTTCTAAGGTAATCGGTTGGAAGCACTTGACCTAAGAATCATGACAGCATGATCTGTAGAGACTATAGTCAAAGGAGAGTATTTTGTTTTTTAAAATCTTAGTCCCTCGCTTACCAATCACAAGTGGTTCTCCCAGATCTAGAACTTGCCCTCAGGGTCCAGCTCTTGACACCCTCTCTTTGGAAGCAAGTTGAACACCTTTAACTGATTCATTTACCTCAGTGGTAGGAGTGGTGCTTATTCCTCTTGCTTTCTCACAAAATGCTAAGAGGAAGGATTTAATAAATCTGTTAATGACTGAATAAAAAGCAGTGGAGCAAGTGTGGAAAGGACCCTGACCTATAATTTCCAAGACCTGCCTACGTTTCCCCAACCAGCTCTGTGACCTCAGGTAAGTCGTTGTCCAGTTTCCTTTCTCCAGACTTAAGGATTTTTTTCATTTATGAAAGCATTTAATTCACTATGCATATGTGTGTGTGTATATATATATATATATGTTTCCTTTCTCCAGACTTAAGGATTTTTTTCATTTATGAAAGCATTTAATTCACTATGCATATGTGTGTGTGTATATATATATATATATACACACACACATATACACATGTATATATATATATATATGTAGAATCATTATGCTGTGTACCTGAAACTAACATATGTCAATTAAATCCAAAGAAAGGAAGCATTTTATCATGAAAATACTTAAGGTGCTTATTCATTTTACCAAAAAATTATCAGTTTTTAATTCTATTCTAAGATTATTTATTATTAAACAACAATTCCATAACTAGATAGAGGTTATGGAAGAAAGAACAAAGTTATACAATTAACTGGTGAAAATGAGATTGATTATATTCATAAGCACACACACAAACATACACACACACACAGCAATACCACAAAAACAAACAAAGACAACAAGACTAGGGATTCATTTTGGCTCAGTCTCAAGCCAATGGGAGGAAAATTTACATACGACAAATTAAAATTAGTGGACCCTACTAAGAAATGGGAGGAATATATTTTTAGAAGACAGTGCTGTAACTATTGTTTCTTCCAGGACCTTTTGATATTTTAAACTGAGGAAAGCAGAGCAAATTTACGTCTTATAAGCTCAACAGAAAGGTACATAGTTTTTATTGTATTTATCTGTTTATTTTTTGAAAAGCAGAGAACATTAAACTTAAGTATGTGCCTCTTTATTCCAGTAGGTGGCTCTGAAGTCCAGTTGTTTATTTTTCTATTAAACACACCAGAGCACAAAATTGTGCTAAATTCAAAAAATAACTCAGTAGGGAGAATTTTCTTCTGAGTATCTTTCTTATCAAAATAAAATCTTTTCTTCATGCAATAGTCATCTAACTATGGGAAGCTGGTTTATAGACAATAATGCTAAATATAAACTGTTACTGTATGTTATAATATAACCTGAGTCTTTATATCAATTCAAAGATAAAATTCATACTATTTAAGGAAAATTAACTCCTTGTTATGTGCTGTTTCTACAAAGACCAGTTGAATTTGCAGTTTGTATCTTATTAACCCAAACCTTCACATTTTCCCTTCTTTGGAAGTATGCTGAGAGGAACAGATATGCTCAAAAAGTTAACAGAATTTTTTTTAAATAGTGTGCATTATTTGCTTTTTTCCCTAAACCTTCCAGTTAAATGATTATAAGTACCTTGTTTCATTCTGGAGTTCTATTTCCCCTTAGAAAACAATGGACTTCTCTCAACAGTTTGAATCACCTCTTTTTTTGGCAACTCTCAAAGGTTTGACTTATTAGTTTCCTTTCCAACAACATGTTGACATTTGAATTGTGACATATTAGAACTTTTCGGTGGCTTCTCGGAAACAGTGAGGTTAAAGAGACAATACCCTGCAAGACTGTAAAACGGTGCGATTGTCTCTGTTGGGGAATGCTGCTTAGACACACATGCCAGATCATTTTAAGAAAGTATTATGATATCATTATTTCTTTGTAGTTCTCTATTAATCATGTCTCTTTTAATTCCATTTTAGATTTACTCAATCCAATCCAATGTGAACCGTCCAAGAAACAAAAGAAAATGATGGATACATCGTAACTGTATATTATGAAGACAATTCTTTTTGCCGGAACACAGATCACTACTGTAATTTCCCTTTAAGTGTCCAGCTTGTCATGGAAGAATATTGAGGGCATAAAAAATAAAAGACACGGAAGAGTGTTGATGTTGGCTTTATATACTGGAGGTAAAAGGTGACATTCCAGGCCATGAAAGGCAAGGCAAAGCAGAGTGGGTTTTAACTTCAGGGTGTTCTTTTCGATTTTAAGTGAATTTTTATAGCGCTCATGAAACTGAGATTTGAAAAGAACTGGCGGGCCCCAGACATAATAAGGGCAAATTCTGGGCATGCTTCCTCATATAGCAGTAAGAATGTGCCTCAAAGTCCCATCTACCACACCCTTACGGAGCTGGTATTTTTTTAAGGTGCACCACTTGGAATTTTCATTCTATCTCATCTCTTAGAATCTTAGAGAGACTTAGGCAACATTATGTTTTCTTCCTATAATTAGAATGGCCCCAAAGTATAATTTGAATATGTGAATTCCGAGATGTATCTACAAAACTAGTTTATAAAATATACCAACAGGCATTTGAGAAGTGAGAGGAATAGTTTAAATGAAAGCGTCATGACAATTTGTTGCCCAAAACAATTACGTGGGGAAAGGATGGAATGAAATCTTGGGCGTATCAAACCTTTCAGAAAATAGGATATCACATCTATGCCTTTATGTTATAAAACAGGACTTTTAGCAAATAAAAATGTAATAAATAACAAGTGACTTATGAAGCTTTGCCTGTGGGTTTGTATATGTGTGCTTGACCATGCTTGTAAAAAAATATTTGTAATGTTTTGAAAATCAGTGTATTCTGAGAACAGCAGCTATATTGTAGTCCTGTGACATGTATGTCATCTGAGTTATGTAACAGAAGCAGAGACACTACTATATATCTTCCCTAGTTTTTGTGTTGGAGAAAAATAGAAGGAATCAATTACTCTATTAAATTCCATACTAGAAAAGGTCTCCTTTCTTATCAGAAGGTTTTATGGAAAAAGTTATCTGGATCCAAAATAACAATGGGATTCTGTGACAAATTCAACTCAACTATATAAAGAGGGGCTCAACAGTTTCAAACACTTAGAAAAAGTTTGAATTAATACAAAAGGGATGTTGATGTATTTACTTCTTCTGTATCTCTCCGAATGCTATATTCAAAGGAAAAAACACAATTCACCCCAATATAGGTGAAAGAAAAGAGGAAAAGGGCCCTATAATATAAGGAAATAGGATGATATGGGAACTCCATTTTTTAAAAAGCCACGATAAATATTTTAAAATTATGTTAACTCCCCTAGAGTTTTCTATTTGGTAGCGAATACAAAATTCCAGAAACACAACATGCTATAAACATGGCCTAACTCTCCATATATTTGAAACTTTTGAAAGTTGAAGTGATCTTTTCATTTTATCATTTAGAAAAAATAATTTTCCCAAAATCTTGTTGGACTCTTTATTTTTCCAAACGGCAGCATTTCTACCTTTGCAAGTATGGATATTATAGCTGAATCTCTGGATTCTTCAATTTATAAGAATAAATATTTATAGCAAATGTTTTAATAGCTCTTTTTGTATAATTTTATTTTTTAAAATTTGCTAAAATAGCACACTGGTAAAACCTCTGAATATTTTTTTTTAATTCTAAATCATCCACATCTTTGAAAATAAAACTAGAAATTCTCCAAATTATTTATTATTACTACTGGTGAAATTCACATCTTAAGGCATAAATATAATATTGTAAAAATGTACATAGCAATTACTCTAAACATAATTAGTATACTTAATTTATTTTAATCAAATCTTGAAACCATTTCCAAATGCCAAAAGAACAGCCATTCAGTTAATATTCACAAGGCTAAACTCGGAATAAAATGCAGTAAGAACATGTATTTAATGCAGCAAATTTTAGACTTCCAAAAGGTATATTTTCACACAATGTTATGCATAAGTGTATGTGCTTGGATATGTTCTATATTTTTTATGTGACATATAAATGTGGCACACCATACATTTTGGGGAAGTTTTGAAACTTGCATAAAATATTAGCAATCACTTATTTTATATATTAATAGAAATGAATGTTTAATGACTTATGATTAATTCTAATTATATACCATCTGTTATATGTAATTATTATATATATCGTAATATTGCATGTAATATATGTTACATGTAGTTGTAATTAGAATTAATCACATTTTACTAAGAATTCATTGTCTTCTGTGAGATAAGTCCAAGATATCAGCCACTAAAGAGCCACTAAAGAGTAACTCTTATAAGCATTCTGGTAGGAAAGTTAATTGGCTATAAAAGACTTTCAAACTAATGCTGTTTTATACTGTCCAGGCCTGTGTTCAATCTAATCCTCCATCGAACCAATGATGCTACCATTTGTATCTATAAATGGTAGTAA